CTGCAGTAGTAACATTATCAATAAACAATCAACTAGGCCAAGGGGGTTTCTTTATGGAATAATTCAGCATTTCAGCTGTTTGGAGAATCTATATATAGCTAACAAATTAGATTACAGAAAAAATCAATATGATATTGATGTCTATATTCAGGCAACGCCTACTGCCTCTGAGTTCAAATCAGCGTTACTGATGGCAGATGGTTGAAAATTCCGCCATATAGTGCCAATTTAAAGTGCCACATACCATCACTCTTAATAAATTTCCTTCTGAGGTTGGGAAAAAATCACCACTGTTCTTCCATTGTTGCAAGTCATATGATAACGCTGATTCAAATCTGGAATGTCATACATATTCTGAACTTCTGAGTTATATCTGTTTGTTGTTGGTAATGCCCACCACATTTAAGAAGTGGAGGCCAGATATTCCAACACATACATGCTCACGTGATGCGTTGAACCAGACAACCAGTTTAGATTACTATCCAATACCCACCTTTTTGTATGCATTTGAAGTGTTCAAGAAATGCATCAAACAGTAGGCAATTCAGGATATTCTTGATCAGGTAGACATTCTACCACTTGGGTGTTTCAAATTCCCAATCATCAACAACATCCAAGCCTTAGTCCCAAAAGATTTTGGGGTCGGCTAACATGAATCAAATTCCCAATCATCACAAACAAAAATTCCAAGAGAATGCCAATTGGAGGCCTTAATAAACTGACTATTATATGGCTATGCCCTTCATACTCAGCATGTATCCTCAAGCCTTGCATAGCAAGATCATTAGGGAAGACATGCTTTCTTTAACAAACCAAAAAGCAGAACCTCATGGAATACTATGAGATCAATTCTTCTCATTAACTCATCTTTCACAACAATCAAACACATCCCCACAAGAAAAATGAAGAACCCAACGATCTGTCCTCCTGGATTTGGAGGTAAATTACTAAATTCTAGCTGAGGAACTAAAGATGCGTAGCAATAAGCAAAACCCATTATTCCATTTCCAGAAATAAGAACACAACGCTCATGTGTTGTTAACACACTTACATAACCATAATAGAAAGTGAGAGAGATTCACGGATACATAAAGAGAGATAGTGGGGGTGAGAGAAGAGAAGTAGTGTGTAAATTACCTGGCAAGAGCAGGGCGTTTCCTGTCGGGTTGAGAATCTTCTGAGCCACTACCCGGATCCAAAGCCCGTTTCTCTCGGGCCATACTAGATGACCTTTCCATGTGCCTAGTCTGCATCTTCGCAGAAACCAGACACTGCCTCAAACCACTTCCTGTGCTCTTCAGATCTGATCTGAAACCTCTCGTTTATTCCGTATTTATTACACTAAATTTGTTTGCAATCGACAAAGTTCATAAAGGAATAAAGATTGTAAACAGCAAAAGGATAAAAAGGGTGTTCGGCGAAAAGGAAAGACGAAGGAGAAGGGGAAAGCGGGAGTATGGGATTGAAAGCCAGGGAGCTTTCCTTGAAAGTTCAAAGAAGAATCTCGGAGTTATCGCTGCCTACGAGTCTGTCACTGTCTGCTAGCTGCCGCATGATGTTTTCTACTTTTTCCAGTTTCTTATAATGGCGTGGCATATACGGAGTAGATAACTCTCAATTTTTCCATTTTTTACAAAAGCAATATTAGCTACAGTAACTAATTTGACTGTTCTCAGTTTGACTAAATCGGACTCTGCCCACGAGATGATCAATATTAATCATACCCAGTTAGGCTTTGAGATTGACTATCATAGATGGAACCGAGCTGAAACAGTTTAACCCGCACCGGTAGCTCAGTTGATCGAGTGGTGGGAAAATTGAACAAAGTGACCAATGTTCGAAACCCGCAGCGGCCGTGTGGAGGTTACAGAACCTGAAATAAGACTGAACCTCTGGTGCGCACGTGTATAAGCCTACCGCCGCTTTGCTGACTGAGTCACCGTGATAAACTTCCCCACCATCCTGTCGGGTCGGGGTGGGGGGCCTTGGGGTTGGGCATTCAACCTTCTTGACCAAGAGCTGAAACAGTTTATAAATTAAATAAAACCGCATTGAAATAAAACATTATTAAAATCCGAATTTATTATTAAAAATAGGGTTTAATGCACCAAATCCCTCTGTGATATGGAAATTTAGCGTATTAGCCCCATGTGTTTTAAAAAATGCGTCAAACTCCCTTGTGTTTTAATTAATTATGCGCAAAATCCCTTCTATGAACAAATTCAGTTGTCAAATATAAGAAAAATGATTAACATTTTTGTATGATTTAGAGATTTTGACATATTTACTTGCATATTCAATCAGAATATTAGGAAAAGTGATCTCAAAATCATTAAATTTAGTCATAAAAGGGAATCTAGGAATGATTAATTAAAGCACATGGGGGTTTTATGCATTTTTCAAATCACATAGAGCTAAAGCGTCGAATTTATATATCACGAGGGGGTTCGGTGCATTAAACCCCACTACCCTTAAAAATAGGATATGTAAATCAAACTTAACTTAATTTATGCGCCTTTCGACAAAAATTATGCTAAGCGAAAATTTAAGAAAAGAAAAAGACTATTTTTAAAAAAGTTAAAAAAATTTACACTCTTACTTTCTCCGTCCCTTAAAACTTTACAATTTTTTTTGGATGTCCACTAACTTTTTCACTTTCCCTTTTAAGTAAAGAATTTGTGGTTACAGTTAATTCTCTCTCCTCTGCGCAAACCTCAATCACGCAGTTTTTACTTTATTAATTCTTGTGCCGGTTAAAATTGGCAAAATTTTAAGGGGCGGAGGTAGTATTACTTATGATACCTCATTATCTTAAAAAAAAATTACTTATGACACCTCACGTGACCGCAACACCACAATAATCAACACAAGAGTGAATCTGATCTCAGCAATCAATGTCTCAGTGACCAGAGACCGCCATCGACCAATGACCACGGACATCTAGTGGTTACCACCGACAACAGTGACCACTATCTGTCAGTGACCACAGTGAACAAGAGTGACGCCGGTCATAGTGATAACCGGCTACCGCAGTGATCACCACCGGTTAGTTACAGTTATATCTCCAACCAATGACACTGTTGCCCCCACCACTGCTGACATTGTGTCCCAACGTCATCGCGGATGTCCCCCCGGTAGGTGACACCGCCTATTGCCGCCCCTAAGCTCGACCAATTGGCATCGCAACACCTGCCCCCCACCAGCCTAGCCCCCCCCCCCCCCCACTCAAGTCTAGTCATTGCCATAGCCCTGCCCCTAGCCCGCCTCAACTTGCAACCACCGATAGAACGATAGCCATGCCGCTTCCCAAAAGTCGATACACATACCCCCCACCAGCCCCATCACCACCCTTACTAATTCCCAACAACCCACTCCACTACCCCCCCCCCCCCCCGTTCCCTAGCCTTCGCAACCATTGTTGTGTCACCGCCCTCAATTTGAAACCCTGGACTCCGATGCGAAGAAGGTGATCCAGGAGCTCCGATCTATATTTCCTTCTTCGATTGAGCTTTTAGTTCGGAAGTATAGTGGCTGCTTATGGACAGAAGAAAGTGTTGATAATTGGGATTTCAATCTAAAAAGTCAACCTAATAGGATAAGTAACCCAAGATCTTAATGTAATGCTCAATTGTTTTGGAGATATTCTGTGTGGAACAACAAAATCCCTCCTCATAACCAGACACTTCGTCTAGATCATCCCATCATTCATTTTTTCATCGGTTCATCATTGTCATTTTTAAATAATTGTGTCATCATTTTTCATAGGGGCTCACACATTGATTATGGATCGATTTGACTCCGATACCATGTTAAGAGAAACTAGAAGAAGAAGAAGAAGATCAAAAGAGTTGCAACCGATTACGGAGGTAAGGACCTGGACTAGGCGGTAGAGGAGAGGAGCGCCAAAGGCTACGAGGGACAACAAATCAACAATGGTGTCATCATCCTCACAAACCCTGGAGCCACTACTGTTGGAGGGCGTCATCGGAGACTCGCGTCACTCGCCATGTAACCTAAGCATATGACCTGTCACCGAAGCACTCATCAGGGGTATTTTTTGGGGTTTTGTCCTTAATATTACTAATATATGGGTGAATGCCAAAAAAGTGACCTTTTATTTAATTTTCCAAAAAAGTGACTGAAATTAACGGTGCTACAGTAACGGTGCTACAGTGACGGTGCTACAGTGACGGTGCTACAGTGACGGTGCTACAGTGACGTTTACAGTGACATTATTTGCAGTGATACCACTAAAACAATTTTACAGTGACAACGTCATAGTGACTCCATTCCACGGTATCTACCGCCCGTTCATCGGCCACAGTGACACCATCACCATTGACACCGCCACCGGTGACACCGCCACCGGTGACACCACCATAGTGACATGACCGTCATCGATGACATTGCCACAGTGACAAAATGATTCCGGCCACGGTCATGGTGCCACCACTGCCGAACACAAACACCAGCCACCAACCACCATCCCCGCACCCAACCGCCAGTCCGCAACCCTAGCCCGAACCGTTACCACCACACCACCTTACCTGCCTATCGAACAGCCACCCCAACAACCAGAACGTAACCCCATGCCCCTCCTCACCCAACCGAAGCTGCCCCACCCAACACCGCCCCTGCATCAACCTCCGCCACCACCACGCTCCATCCTCACGCCCTAGCCCCCAACCCCTCCCAGCTCCACCTACCTCCCCTGGCCCCAGCCCCCTCCTCAGCCCTGAGCCACCTCCCCATCCCCCATGACCCCTCCTCATCCCCCACCCGACCACCAGCTAACCCACCCATCCACCACCTAGCCCTCACCGCTCTAGCACCGTCGCTGACCACCACCTTGGACCACTGTCGCTGACCAACACCGTCAGCACCGCCCCACCCCAACTTAACTCCCCAGCCCCCTCACAGCCCTCCTCCCAGCCGCTTCCATCACCAGCCCCCAATCCGCTCCCCTGCCCCACCTCTCTCCGACCAGGTCCGACCACCATGGATTCTGGCGTGACCAATCCCCACTGGTCCCCTCCACCAGCCCCGTCCCAATCACCAGGCCCTAGCCCCACAACACCCGCCCCAGCCCTGCCCAGCAACAACGCACTCCAGCCCCTCAAGTCACATCCTACTTTCAAACCTCGCCCAAAACAACTCCCTACCCCTATCCCACCTGAGTCACCCAGCTACCAACACAGATCTGGAAAATATAAGAAGGAAAACCCCCCAGATCTGAAAGGGGAAGAACAATAAAGGAAGATCGGAGAGGAAAGTCCCTATGTAGAGGTTCGTCGACCTTCTTCAGAGGCGGACCAGTGGAGATGCAGCAAATAGGCACGTCGAAGCTCAGAGAGGTGGACCGGCGGAGAGAAGTCGCCATGGCCGTGCGAAGAGAAATATCGGCGTGGTGCAACAGAGAGGAAGACCGGCGAAGAGAGAAGCGTTCAGACCCTGTGCGGAAGGAAGATCGACTGCTAAATGTTGCTCCGGGCATGGGAAGAGAGATCGATGGAAGAAGCTTCCCAGAGAGGGAGGTGTCTTGGACGGAAGAGAGAAGGTCGAGCTGTTTTGACGGGAAGGAGAAAGGGGCTGTTTTGACGGGAAGGAGAAACGGAAGGGTATGTTTTGTGTCAATTCTAAAAAGAGTCATATTTTTGTCCAATGAAAGTTGGGGAGTAATATCTATGCCATTCTTTCTATTTTTTTAGTATTTATATGAGTCATTTTTGCAATTCAATTTTATTTAATCTCTTTTTTATCCATATTAATATTAGATCTTATTTTGTTATCTAAAATTCTTTAGTCATATTTTTGTCTTTCTTTCATAGCTTTATTGGGCAATCGTTTTTCCAATCCATTTCAAACTAAATCGAACTAAAAATACGATACATATCGATTCAAAATCAATAAGCCTATCCTATAATCAGAAACACAAATTGTTATGCATATAATCACACCCAAATTAAGTATGCGTAAGTGTAATAAATAAAACTGAAATTACTTTTTTGACTGAATTAGCCAAAATTAGATTAGAGAATCATTTTAACTATTTTTTTTTCATTTTTTTATTTTATTAATAAAATATATTATAAATACAACTTTTTCATAATTTAGCCAATTTAATCACTTCAAATTTCATTAATTTCAACAAATTCAACCGGTTTTAGTGTTATCAAACGGGCTCTATGTCTCAACACCAACAGTCAACAGACTCTTTTGTTTGTCACATAGAGATTCATTTTTAGTATACAAGATGCAGATAGATGTCATTTCGATCAAAGAAGCCAAAATCAAAGTGACAAAAATGTATGACCCAAGTAGAAAATTATACCAAGTAGATTAATACTTCGTACATTCCAACTGCCGCATTGTTTTACATTAAGTGGTTCTGTTCTTTCAGAAACACAAGAGAGCCACAACAAACTTTGTAGCTAGCTAGCTATTCTTGTTTGGCATCTTCCCTTTCCTTTTATCCCTCTTGCTTTGTGGCCTTGCCCGGGATTTCCTTTTACTAACTTTCTTGATTGGCTTCTTCTTACTTACAGTGGTCTTTTTCCTTTTGGCATCTTTGGTTTCACAGGAGGGTTCATATGGTGCTGGCGGTGAGGTTAGCACTGGCAAATCCTCCTGCCCACGAGAAATCTCACTGGTTGTCACTGTGACTTGCACATCACCATTGTCATACATGGTTGTACCTTTGAGACAAGATACAGGTGTGTCACTTTAATGGCAGAATAAATGTTGTCTGGTATAATAATTCATACAGTTGGCATGTTAAAGATGACTGTCCCAAAATACAGTTGACAAGAAATTATATGCACCACAGAATTATTTCCTTCAAAGGAAACAGGAATCTCATTTTGGGGAGAGAAAAAGTCCAAGTACACCCTTACAACCTTAACGTTTATCACTATCTCCTTATAAATTATTCTTACTAATAATACAGAGTACTAACTCTGCACTGCTTACACATAGAAACATATACTTTCTTAAAAATATAAAGTGGGTGTTAAGTGTTTGTATCTACTTCTTAAAATTGCTTCCGCTCCCTGATACTGGAGTGTTCGGGTGAAAGCATAGAAGAACTTCTAGGTGCTCCAAAATGCTCCTAGAAACAAATTTTTAGAAGTTGAGGGGACAAACTTTTGAAAACTGATTATGATTCTACTTCTACTTTGAAAAGATAAGCAGAACTAGAAGCAAAATCAATTCCAAACATCCCAAAATAAGAAAAAGAAGCAAATGACATAAATTTACGATATCGCCAATGTCATAATCGACACTTTAATAAAATATATGGGTGTAGTTAAAAAACCATTTGATAATTCTCACACTCCATATATTAAATGAATTTTTTCTAGGGATTTTAAAACAGTTGTACAAGATATAATGCCAATAAGGGAAAATATGAGCAGCAAGGGAAACACCAAGTGTATGGTTTGAACATAACAAAAGGTAGGGACCATTGTGCAAGTAGAGGTAGATATTGATGGGTTTTTTTGTCAATTAGACAAATTTTATTGATAAAACATCAAATGGATGTACAAGTAGAATGCAAAGAAAAGATGTAAAGGGAAAAGAAGAAGAAAAAGGAAACAAAAAAAGAGAAAAAGAAACAGAAAACAAGAAGAAAACAACCCAAAGTACAAATAGCAAAACCCTCCCTATATCATCATGAGTTCCACCAAAACATCAAAAAACCGCCCGTGATTGGGATCTCGTCCACATAAGATGAGATCGCTTGTGCGCTTTCCTCTACACTTTCATTTGTGTGTTGAGGTTCTGGGTGGGTAAGTAGTTTTCCTTCGTGACTAGGCGGGCCTTGTTGCAAATGTCCCGATTAGTGTCAAAGTCCCATAAATCCTCGATTGCTGAAATGGGAGCTCTCATTTCACTCTCCGAGGTATGACCAAGAAATTCATCATCTGAATATGACAATTTCTTGGCAAAAACATCATCACAACCCAACCCTGTAGAGAAGTGATTACCTATATCCGCATCTCTCAATGGGTTTAGCTTTGGATTAACCGATTCTTTGTTCCTTGATCCAGTCTCTTGCCCAAAGAGTCATATTTTTCCAAGCGGGAGGCAACAATTAATGATGTATTTGCACCTTTTCCCTTATTTTGGTAAACATGAAAAGCAATTTATTTATTTATTCAACACCTAGGCGGGGATCGTTGGTGCACCGGCTACGATGTTGCTGTGTGACCAAGAGGTCACGGGTTCAAATCCTGGAAAGTTGGAAGCGTGCTCTTGTCAAAATGACAAGGGAATGTTTGCTTCTTATACACCCTTGTGGTGGGACCTTCCCCGGACCCTCTCCTTGCGGGGACACCAATGCGCACTGGGCTGCCCCTTTATTCAACATCTTGTTTGAATCAATCCTTATAAAACTTAACCGCCTATCACAACTTCAGTATAAACTGTAAGGTTGCTTGTTCATAGTAAAAAATGATGTCATACATATCCACAATTCCACATTCAGAAAATACATTGGGTATCCCTGGTAACTTATACAGGCTAGCAGCTATAAAACCAATCAAGTTTGATAATATAAACTTGGGATTTAATCTTACTAGCCTAATTATGTGATTAACCAACTCTCATTCAATAACGATACACCCTAAATATACTATTGGAAAACAGCATTTCTAAGCTGTGCAACATATGTCAGTATCTTTTACAGGACCCAGTAACTAAAAAAATGATCATTCTTTAAAGTACCTTCCTGTCAATAACTTCTCAACTCATACTATCCCTTCTCACAAACGCTCTATTATTATGAAAAGGTTTATGCCTACAAGATGCTGTCATAAGTTAGGGACTTAGGGTATTCTAATTATTAATAATATTCACAAAAATCCATTGCTCTTAGAAATAAACATATATCACCAAACAATGTGTGATGTACAGGACACTAAGCTTACACTAAGGGTATGCTTGGGAGATAATTTGGAGGGGATGAAAGAAGGGTTATATTCATTTAAGAGATCAGAGTAGTTAACTAACGTAATACAGAGTAATATTTTCAAATAAAAAGATATAAATGAAAAATTAATATAGTTTGATTAGTTTCTATGTCCTAGTCATTTATTTATTACCATAAATCTTAAATAGTTCTCTTAATGATGATATAAAAAATAACGCCTTCCTACCCCTCATAATCCCAAACTCACTAACATACATTATCGTTCAGTTTGGATCAAGGATTTTGGAGGGCTAGGTTATATCTTGATACATATTTAGATTCTTACAAAATTGAATAAATTATGTAATGCATCATCATATAAATGTGAATCACCCTTTATTACCTTCTAAAACATATTCTATTTGACAGGATATAGACTATGCTCTCCAAAGTCCAAACCCTTCCCCTCCAAAGTCCTCCATCCAAACTGAGCATTAGGGTCTATTTGGATGACTGTTTTTTAAGTGGATTGGAGGGGTAGAATTTCAAGGAGTTAGGACCCCGTTCTTTTATTAGATGTAATGTTTTGACTTTTGCACTATTCGCATACTCTAAGTTGACTCCATTTTATTTAGTAATGTATTAAAAAGTCATATTATGAAAATTATTGTGATAATTGTCTCAATGTGAAATTTCAAAATATGATTATTTTTATCTTTTTTACCAATAGCAAATTAAACAGTAGTGGTAAAAATTGCATGTGGACATATATAAAAGTCAACCTATTGCAATTAAATAAAAATGGGAAATTGCCCTAAATAAGAGTAAAAACGTATTGGAATTCTAAAATAGGACTGTCATATTTTTATTCCCGAAATAGGAGTAATTACTGCCATGTTTTGGCAGTATTTTTCAAACTTGAAAGTAATTACTCCTATTGAGGGAATAAAACATGACAGTCCTATTTTGGAATTCCAAAACGTTTTTACTCCTATTTCGGGAATTTTACCGATAAAAATGGAACAAGTATATAGTTATTAATTATTAGTACTCCCTCCGTCCTTGAAAGAACTTCCAACTTTCCTTTTTTGTCCATCCCAATAAAACTTTCACCTTTCTTTTTTGGTAAAGAATTTGTGGTTCACAGCATTTCTTACACATTTCTCTCTCCTCTGCACAATCTCCACCACACAATGCCCACTTTCTTAATTTGTGTGCCATTTATACTATGAAAGAACAATTAGGGACTAGGGGAGTAGTAAATATGAAATATTTCCATACCTGAAACAGGTGCTTTAGTGAAATCTGACCCTATGTCGTCTTCATCATCCTCGTCTCCATCCTCCTCATGCTCAACACATTGAGCACCAGAATCAGGCAGGACCCCGCCATTGGTGACCATTTGTCTTTCTAACCTTCTCTGCAGGATCAAGGAAAAAGCAACTCCATATATGAATACCGGAGCAGTTGTGCTATTCAGATATCATTCAGAGCACATTTACATTTGATTACTTATATTCGTTTGTAATTCTATTAATCTCCTTAAACCTGCCATTCCTTATAGTTACACTAGCCCTACAAAACAATAGGAACTGAAATTGCAAATGCAGACATCTTCACTTGTGGTCTTCCAAACTAAAGATATGTTTGGAACAAGGGAAACGCATGTAGGAAATTGGGTTTGGGATGTTTGCTTTGACATCAGAAAATAAAAAGAAAGATCAATTCTGATAAAAAAAAAAAGACAAGTTTTACATAATATTTGATTGATTAGTCTTTTACAAATGGAATAGAAAATATTTAATAGAACGTGTTTGAACAAATATGTGAAATTTATATCTTGAGTTAAGGCCTGGCATTTTTGCTATTTTCTTTCCCCAACATATATCTGAGGTCCAAACCAATCATACTCCGTGATAATTTCAGTGGAAAAACATTACTCATCATCAACAAATGCGTAATGTGAATCATCAATAGACAAGCACAGAGGAACTCAAATCAAGCTTGGTATCAAACTGACAGACCGGGCTATCAGCCAATTATGGAAGGAGTTATAAAGATTGAACCTTTTTACGGCATTCAATACGCTTTCTCCGGTCGGCTTCCTGAATTTTCTGTTGTGCTTCTTTTCTCCGCTTCTTCTTCCTCTTGTGAAACCCAGTCACGAATTCCCTGTAGTTCAAGAAGGTAACGAAATAAAAAGACAATCCACATGACAAAATGACAATGAAACGGTGTAAATCGAACAAACTCAGCAAAGGTAGCAAAATAAAAAAAATGAAAAGAATGAGAAATTTGGAATAAAATAAAGAAAAGTGAATACTGGAGGTCTTTCTCATCGAAAGAAACGGAGAGGGATTTGTTCCTAAGTGCTCTTTTCTTGATGTGCCGACCTCGCGGCACGGTTTCACCTTCTTCTTCCAGTGTTATTTTTGCCATGGCTGCTCCAAGCTGAATATGTTTAACCTGCTCTCTTTAGATTTTAGAGATAGGATCTTTAACGGACCGGGTCACACCCGCCCCAAAGTAATAAATTTGGGCTTGACGGACACTTTTGACTCTTGAATCTTGATCCTGCCCTCCATAGGGTGTCGGGGTTATATATGTCGTGTTTATTTACAGGTTAGTAAGCCTTATTTTTTTTATAAAGAAATCTCGTTTATATTAAAATAACCCCTATTTTTTTATGAAGGAAACTCGTTTATATTAAAATCATTAGAATTCGGAAAGGGACAACAAATTGAAAGAGATCAATGTTGACAATAAGTATCCGTAATCAACTGGCACTATCAATCTTACGACTAGATTCATAGACGGTCGACCTTTAAAGAGCAATATGAATCATTAATCATATAGATCCTTCTAACGACATAATATCTAGCAGAATTGTCAATCATTATTGTTGATCAAAGTCTAAAGATATCAACAAAAAATAGAGCAACTTAACACATAACGCGAAAATAAGACCATAAAAAATAAAATAACTTATACGAGTAAATCTTCCAAACTCTAGCTCCATGTTCGCTCCAAGGCGACAATTTAGGAGGGGGGCGGATCGCTGATCTTTCTTCTCCCTTGCTCATCCCTTCACATCTCCCGGTCTGCTCGTCGTCTGTGCTACCTCCACTATCGCCACCGCTCTCCACCCATGTCGATCCGCCAAGAATTAACCCTTCGATGACCTCCTCGATTGCTGGACTGGGACAATGATACTCTAAATCATCCATATAAGTCATGGTTATCCTTTCTTGACCCTGCACTCGATCAAGATGCCGAAGAAAAACTTATTCACAAAAGTGTGGTATTGCACCGCTCTCAACACGCAAGAGAAAAACCTAGCTCTCGACAAGCGAGAGAAAAACCTAGCTCTTAGCTAGCAAGCGAGAAAAAAACCTAGCTCTCTACAAGTGTAATACCTCGAAAATTTGAGATAATTTGGGAAATATTAAAATTTGTGTTTCGTATCATTTAGATGGTCTTTAGATTGTTTATTATATTTGGTTTAGTGTTTGGGACCAAGGGGAGGTCCAAACAGGGAAGAAACGGGGTAAAAACTAAGGTTTGGGGCGCCTGGGGTCACGCACGGTGTGCGTGGGGTCACGCACGGTGTGCGTGGGGTCACGCACGGCGTGCGTGGGGTCAGGCACGACATGCGTGGGGTCACGCACAGCGTGAGTGGGGTCACGCACAGCGTGCGTGGCAAGAAAATCAAGCGGAATAGCTACTGCCAGCCACGCACGGCGTGCCTCTCTGTTTTATCCTAATGCGACGCAAACTTCAAAAATTAACTATAAATACATCCCTAATCCGATTTTCCTCATTCCAAAAACCCTATAACCGCCTCTTCAATCTCTATCTCTCAAAGATCTTCAATATTAACATATCAACAACGAATTTTGATGCCAAGGACGAGATCAAACAATCCAATCTTCCGGTAAGTGCGTTTGTTGCCTAATTCGCGTCGTTCATCCGTTTTCTTAATTTCTTTCTCCTAAATTGAGATCATTCGATCCTATAACTTCCTAGGGACGAGTGAGTGATCCCTCAAGATAGGTTTAACATTTAGGATTCGTTGCTAGTCTCGAGGTAAGGATTATTGCAACCAAAACTACATTTTTGCCCCTATTATGTACTCCGTATTAATTAAGGTTTGTGTTATGATATGAGTTTCTTTCTGAAATTTTATGAATATTTCGGTTATTATAGTATGAATATTATGATGCATGATTCTCTGGGAATTTTTGAGAGTACGATTTATGGTGAATTTATCAAATTAGTTTACTATGGCTAAAATTATGATTTTTGAGGATTGTTCTTTTGGAAATGGAAAATTTTGGTGATTGTTTTAGTATGAGTTGAAGTATGACTTGAGACTATTCTAATTGGTTATATTGAAAATATATTATGGGTTTAGAATACCTCAATTGGATTATTTTGGTGGTGGTAGTAAATGCTACTTTTGGGAAGTGGTGGTTTGGGTTAAACCCTCTTTTTGGAAAGCGTTGTGAGATCAAATCTTTTGGGACAAATTATATATTTTTAAATGTATAATTTCGTATTAAAATTTACATATATATTCTGGAGTTACAAATATCATTATTGGATTATTTTGAACATGAGATTAAACATTATTTTGGAACTAGTTTTGGTAAACCCTAATTAGTGAACTTTGACCTTGAATTGGAGATGCTTGGCATATGATTTTGAGATAGGAATCTGAAAAGGATATTCTGAGAAAGTGTTTTGAATCTAAATGATATTTGCGCAATCTATGAACTACATGTTCATAATGATATGTGAGTAACCTATGAACCATATATGTTCGTAATGATAAGTGGAGTTGATGGATAAGTGTACCCGGGGGTAGTTTATCCGAGGGGTTACTGCGGGAGTAACTTAGAGAGAAGTCAGAGCAAAAGTAAGAGAGAATATGTATTGCTGATAATGTATTGAGAGTGTTGAGCATGTCTTACAAATGGGGAAAGGGGTGTTATTTATAGCAGCAATAAATGCTAGATAGAGACATGTGTCATCATTCTGGCGGGCGAGGGGTCACCTCAACGGGGTGGCACTGGCACTCGCATGTGGCCGCATTAAATGCGGTGGTTGGATGTAACGTTTGTACTCGGTACGTTAATCCAACGCATGTGGGTGGGAGATTCTATCGAGGAGAAGCCTTCGGCCGTCGATGATTAGCCGAAGGCTCTTCATCTCGGGGGCCTCTAGGTGCCGAGGGCTCCAGGTGCCGAGGGCTACTGTTTTCGCCGCTTTCTCCCAGACACTTTGAGTGCTTAAAAGAAGTTGTATTGTAAGCTTATGAGCCTTCAGCCAGGGGCCGAAGGCATCCCAGTGTTCGTCGTGGGCTATTTGGCACTTGGGCGCTGTGATTTGGGCCTGTTGTGCTTCCTGGGCCTATTGGGCCTTCGTTATAGTAGTGGGAGTCTATGGGTCGGGGGTTCCTGGGCCATATACTCTATCAGGAGTCCCTCACTCCTTTTGCCGAAAGGTACTTGAGGGAAAAGGACTAAAATGTGTTTGTTCTCTGATGCTGCCTTGCTGTAGTTTGTAAACCTGTGAGAGATTTTGCGTTTGCACATGATTCTGCCGGGGGCAGCCCTTCAATCCCCCACATTTTGGGACTGAAGGGTGTTGATGCTTTGTGAGAATAATTTTTTAGCATTTTTTGATTTTCCCGGTTCCCTGAGGGGTTCTCCAGTCCCCCACTCCTTGAGGCACTTGTAAAGTGGTGAAGAGAAGTAGAGTAGTGCCCGCTGTTATCATGTTGCCGAGGGCCGACGCTTTTCGTTTCATTTTGGGGGGACGCCTCGTTAAAAACCTCATTAGAAAAAACCTTGTGGGGAAAAATTCTAATGAGGGAAAAAGAGTGCCCCGAATTCCCCCAACGATGAATCGAAAAGGTGAAACCTTGGTCCGAAATGGATGACACTATTGTTGTCGAGGGCTATCCTTGTCCGAGGGCGTTTGTGTTGATTTGCCGAAGGCGCTTTGTTAATATCCCGGGAGATGCCGATGGGGAGTCCCTCAATCTATGGGGGTTGAGGGTGTGATGAATGTAGGTGGTAGTTGCTGTGTTGTCGGGGGGATTCTCTAGCTGTTGACAAGCTGGGGATGAGGGCACCCGAGGGGTCCCGTTGTTGTATGCCGAAGGCTAACCACTGATGAGGGGTTTGGAGGTGTGGCCCCGAGGGTTTCCTGATTCCCAACACGTTGAGGGTTGAGGGGTCCCGAGGGGTTTTCCCGTTTGTTAAGCCGTGGGCTCCTGAAGGAGAAAGCCCGAAGGCATTTGTAATGTTGTATGAGGGGTACCGGCCGGGAGCACCTCTGTGTTTTCAAAATATAGCCGTTGCAATACGACCGTTGGAATATGGAACGTTTAAAATGTAGCCATTGGAGAGGACTTCCACGTGGCGCGTGGCTGTTGGCTAGCTTCGGGCGGGTATCATCGGTTGGCGGAAGGGGGCGGCGTGTAATGATGACTTTCCACCGGGGCCCCGGTTTCTTGGCCCAAGCCCGGAGTGGGAGGCCTATAAATACCCCAAGGTCAAGGCCATTCTTCTTGCGCGATCATACTATAGCGAAGCTCTGCCGGATTTTTTCTAGAGAGAGAAACAACCCTTTGATCAAATCCTCACTTCCCAAGGTCAGTTGCTCCTCCTGTTCTCGAGTTCCTTAGCGTATTTTCGCCCTTAGGTTAAGTGCTAGAGTTGTTTTAGGGAGCATTCGGTTTCTAGAACCCCTCATCCCCTAGTTCTCGAGGATGTCTTCGGCAAGTGATTCCCAAAACATATCGAGGGAGGCATCGGTGGACGTTGAGGTCGTGTCCGAGGTGGAGTCTTCGAGCGGACACCTTTCGACAAATAACGACCGGGCAGTAGCCGAGAAGATACAAGACAACCTTCGGCTCGAACTAGAGGCCGAAGACTTCGAACAAGTGATCGAGGACGAGGAGTTGGCCCTTGCCTACCAAGTGGCAGAGGAGGAAGCGCATAAGGAGATGATGAAGGTTACAGTCGTTATCCTCCCCCCTCGCAATGTTGGTGAGGTAAGCAGCTCCAGGCCGCTGAACCCGACGGCTCTAAGAGTGGCCCCCGGTAAGAAGAAGAAGACGAAAGCCGGAGCGCCCAAGAAGAAGGGGAGCGTCGCCGACCTAGGGAAACCGGTTGACATGCCCGAAGGCTACTCCTTTCTGAACACCGCTGCCCTCGAGATAAAGTCGAAGGCTGACAAAGCGGAATGCTACGTCACCCAATTGCATGTTGGGCCCTTGGCTACTGTGGTGCCACCGAGATCTGATGACGTTCTCTCCCGTGCCCCCGAGGGATGTATTGCTGTTCACATTCTGTCGGTGTCCATGGGCCTTCGGTTTCCACTGCACCCGTTCCTTCAGGAATATCTTAGGTATGTAGGCCTGGTCCTTGCCAACTAACGCCCAACAGCCATTCGTATATCACTGGGTTTCTTCACCTCTGCAAATCCCGGGGGGTGACACCTAGCTTGGATTTGTTCTTCCAAAGCTTCAACCTTTGCCGGGGAGGCCATGCAAACGCCGAGGGGTTCGCCAATTTGCAGCAGATCACTCAGTTCAGGCTGTTCACCGAGGCTCCCTCCTCAAACAAAGGCTGGAAGGAGCGGTGGTGCTACGTCGGGCTGGACGAGAACCCTTTCCCGAGGGAGTTGCGGGATCGTTTTAGGCGCCATGAGAAGACAAGAAGCACCGCCCTCGAGAAAGATGGCCTTGTACTCGCCAAGATTCTGGTGGGGCGGAACAAGAACATAACCATCAAAGAATGTACCCTGGAGAGTGATCTATACGCCCTCGGCTTCCGGCGGTATCGTTTCCTGGGGGAAACAGATGAGAAGTACCCCATCCTTGATAGAGCCTTCGGGGGGACAGGAGGTAGTTACCGAGGGCCTTAATATTTTGTACTTAGGATTTTTTTGCACTTTGATATTTGTTGACGCCTTTGACCCTTCGGCCTAACTCGTCCTCGTTCTTTTGCAGGTACTAGCATGGACCCAAACGCCCTCTTTGCTCTGAAGAAGAAGAAGGGGAAGGCTCAGGCAAAAAAGAAGGAACCTTCGGACCAACAGCCCGTTGATACCTTCTTTCAGAAAGATGTGGTGGACCCTTCTGCAGCCGCCACGACTGCTGGTGTGGATGGGGGTTCTCAGGCCGATGCGGCCATGAAGAAAAAGAAGGCTGGAAATGGGACGAGCCCTCCGGCTAAAAAGCAGAAGAAGGAAGGGGATGCCCCCTGGTGATCATGGAGGAGCAATCCTCTTCCGAGCCTCCAGCCAAGACTACGTCGACGGCCCCCTCCGGCTTTCCTTTAGGGAATGTCCCTCGGGAGACCTTGCAGCTCTCCCTCGTCAAGGGGTCCGCCGTGACGCATGGTACTGTTGAGCCGAAGGCATTCCTCCTCGGCATGACTTCGGAGTTGGATAGGGCGGCCCTCGGTAAGTATGACGATGCCACCCTCGAGAACAAGATCCTCTGGTCCTCCCTGACTGTAAGTTCGTTTCCTTCCTCTTCTTTTGCCCACTCAGCACCTTTTAAACGACATTCTAACTCGCCCGTTTGTTATTCGTAGGCTTGCATAGCCCTCGGGGAACAGGCCCACAGGCTTGAGGAGTGGCGCCTCCAGAAGGTCCCGCAGGAGGAGTCCATGAAGAAGCTCATCCGCGACAAGGATGCTGCCCTTCGGGAGATGTGCAGGCTGGAGGAGGCCCTCTGACAGGCTACCGAGGGTGCAGAGCAGAGAGTGAAATCCGCAGTGGAGGAGGCCAAGGCCGAAGTTGAGAGAATAGCTGTCAAGGCTGCGAAGGAAGCTGCCGAGGAGGCCGAGAGGGCCAAGGCCGAAGCGGTGGCTGCTGCCGAGAAGTCTGCAGTTGAGAACTTTGTTGCCGGGGGCTGGACCACTGAGGGGAGGAAGGACTGGGTGTCCTCGGTGGTGGAAAAAGGTGTTGATGCTTGGGTCGAAGGACCCGGGAAGATGTGGCTAGCCGAGAAGGGTGATTCCTTCTATCAGGGAGGCGAATTCTTCACCCAGCATCTGATCTACCGGAGGCTCGCCAGGCACTTCGGCATTCCCCTTGAGCAATTTGATCCGGCGGCGTACGGTCTTCCCCCCTGCCGCCGGATGTGAGAGTTCCCCTTCCTCCGGGCGAGGAGAGGCCGGTAATCGAAGATAGCATGACGATAGGGGGTCCGAGGATGAAGAAGAGGCCGGAGGGGATGTCTCCTCGAAGCCTGCTGAGGGGGTGCTGCTGAAGCTGACGATAACCCTGTCCTTGTTGTATAATTCTGAACGTTTTTGTATAAACATTCCTGTAGCTTTCGGCTTCGGCCTTCATGTATGACAATTTGCCTTTCTCTTTTTGTGAATTGATGAATGGATGCCTTCGGGCCTTTTGTATATAATCTGCTTTTCTTCGTTTCCTTTATGCCCCGTGAATGAATGTGTTTTCTTCTCTGTATGTTTGTCTCATGGTTTGATCGAGGGCCAAATACTTAGGACTTAGAAATTTTTCTAAGTGTAGCGATGCACTTGGCCTTCGACTGATAGCTTCCTTTTGGTTTTGTATTAGATAGGAGCCTTCGGTTAGGTTCCGGGTTGGCCGAGGGCCAAACTTTTGGGACTTAGAAAATCTTCTGAGTGTTGCTCATCACCACACCTTCGGCCATTTGACCCCTCTGGCTGCAGGAAGATTTGACCGAGGGCCAAATATTTAGGACTTAGAAAACTTTCTAAGTGTACTTTCACCACTAAGCCTTCGGTTGTGTGGCCTCTCTGGCTGCATGGAGATTTGACCGAGGGCCAAATATTTAGGACCAAGAGCCTTCGGGATTGTACTCCTTTTTAGGTAAAATCTCCTGAGAACGCCCCACTTTGTGGGCTTAGAACAATCTCCCTTGACCTGTGAGTACTGGCCTCCGGCAATAGGTAGTAGGTGCCTTCGCTCTAGGGGTAGCATGTGAGCCTTCGACTTTTGGTAGATCCCCAAGTGTGGACTCTAGGACTTTTGTAGACCAACCTCGGCATGGGAGGGGCAGTAGCCCTCGGGCCATGCTTGGGAGCATTCCCTCGGTGCTTAATGGGATGCCGGGGGCAATTGCTGCTTGGACTTAGGAAATTTTGTAGAGCACAGATGCCTTTGGTATTCCTTGAAATGTTGTTGCTTGGCATTAGCAGATTTTTCCCTCCATATAGGACTATAGCCTTAGGTATTGGAGGATGTCGGAGGCATCCGGCTGTGGACTTGAAATGTTGTTGCTTGGCATTAACAGATTTTTCCCTCCATGTAGGACTAGAGCCTTTGGTATTGGAGGATGCCGGAGGCAGTCGTCTGTGGACTTGGTCATATTTTGATAACTTTAGCCTTCTGGAATTAGTAGCTTCCCGGTACCGGAGGTGTTCCTGTGGGAAGCCCTCGGTATGATATGCGTTGTCTTGTGGTGCCGAAGGGAGGCCTGTTGTGAATTGTTGAAGTTGTGTACTCATTGATTTCTCGTTGAGTCTACTTCCCTTCACCCCTTTTTTTTTGGTAGTGAAGGGAAGGCTTCAAGAAACTGGGTTTCTTGGTAAGGCTTGGCCTATCGGGAGGCAACAACATACACCATTAGCTCCCCCCTCGGGTTAACCTTCCGAGTTCCGAGGGGATCGAGGGTCGTTTCATCGGCATAAGACATAGTCTGTAGCCTGCCTCCCCTTGGGGGATGGCACAGAAAGCGCCTCAGTTTTGAAAGATGTCCCCTCGGCGCGAGACATAGTCTATGGCCTGCCATACACTTGGGGTCATGGCGCGGGGAGCGTTTCGTTTTGGAATTTGAATCCTGGGCATATTAGATGTCTGCCATTCCCTTGGTGTAATGGCGCGGAAAGCGTTCCGTTTATGAAAGTCGAATTCTGGGCATATTACTTGCCTGTCATACCCTTGGGGTAGTGACGCGGAAAGCATTTCAAGGAAGGGTTTTCATTTTCACACTGGTTGCAAATGGCCGGGGGCACTACGTGCTGCCGGCACCGATAGGTGGCGCCTTCGGTATAAATGCGCCCTCGAGGGGTACGACTTTAGAAACAACACTTGGTGTTTGTTTCGGTAAACGGCCCCCGGTATCTGGTACCGAGGGGTCTTCTGTAAAAACACTTGGTAGTGGGGGTCTTCCCAGGAAACACTTGGTGTTTTACTTCCGCTGTTGAAAGTTGTTAGGAGTGCGTACTCCCGGAACTTGGTGCCGAGGGGTCTTCTTTGAAAAACTCTGGGTGTTTTTCCTCATTCGTTGCAGGTAATGGGGGTGTCTACCCTCGGCACTTGGTGTCGAAGGGTCTTGCTTATAATAAGGCCTTGGGTCGGGAGCTTGTTATGAGGGCTTGGCTGCTCATAAGAGTCTTGTCTCTTGTTTTTGGTGTCTTCAATCTTCGGATTTGAAGGCCTTGGGCTGTAAGATAATACATTCATTAGTTGTGGTGGCTTGGCCGCTCTAAAATTATTGATAAAATTTAACTAGGTGATGTACATTCCAATGTCTAGGGACCTCTGTCCCATTGGGGCGTTTGAGTTTGTAAGTCCCTGGTTTGATGATGGTTGTGACGATGTAGGGGCCTTCAAACTTGGGCAACATTTTCCCGCCCTCGGTTGGTTGGTTGGCTTCCCTCCTTCGGAGGACATAGTCCTGCACTTGAAATTCTCAAGAGCGGACCTTGGTGTTGATGTAACCCTTCATTTGCCTCCGATAGTTTTCTGTCCGCGTGAAGGCCTGCTCTCGGCGTTCTGAAATGAGGTGAAGGTTGAGGGCCATATTGGCGTCATTGACCTCAGGTCCGTACTGGGCCACCCTTCGGGTAGGGAGGGTCACCTCCGTGGGAGCTTTGGCTTCGAATCCATAATAAAGGGAGAAAGGCGTTTCTCCCATTGCCCGCCGAGGGGTTGTGCGGTAGGCCCATAAGATGTTGTAGAGTTCCTCTACCCAGCCTCCCCCTCGGCTTCCAGCTTCTTTTTTAGGCCCTCGAGCAAAGTCCGGTTGGCGTTCTCCACTTGGCCGTTGCCTTGAGGGTAGGCCACGGAGGAGAAGGTGTGTTTGATGCCCCATGCCTCTAGGAGGGCACAGAAGGGGGCCGCTTCAAATTGAGTCCCATTGTCGGAGATGATTTGCTGGGGGACGCCAAACCTTGTGAGGATGTTCTTGAGGACAAAATGACGGCATCTGGCATCGGTGATGCTGGCGAGGGGCTCGGCCTCCACCCACTTGGTGAAGTAGTCAATAGCAACTATGATGTACCTGTTGTTGGAGGTACCCCTCGGTAGAGGGCCCACAAGGTCTATGCCCCATCGGGCGAAGGGTATGGATGTGCTGATGGGGGCATAGTTGACCGCTGGCCTGCCAGGGGCTTTCTGGAAGTGTTGACATGCGGTACACCTTCGGGCGAGATCCGCACAATCTCGGGCCATCGTAGGCCAGAAGTAGCCCTGGATTATGAGCCTTCGGGACATGGAGAAGAGTTCCTGGTGAGCTGAACAAGTGCCAGCCGAAGGCCACAGAGGAGGGCCTCATATTCGGCTTCGTTGTTCGAGACTTTGAAAGAGAAACGAATGACATAATAGGCCCGGAAGCCTTCGGGAGAAATGAGAACTACCCCTCCCCCACAAGCTTTGATAGCAGAGGAGCCGCCGGTGTAGAGAGTCCACCAGTCGTCCGAGGGTGCCGAAGGCTCCTCGTCCGTGGCTGATCTTGCCGTGCATTCCATCACGAAGTCCGCCAAGGCTTGGCCCTTGATGGCAGGCCTCGGACGGATGTCGATGTTGTATTGGCTGAGGAAGATATCCCACTTTACCATCCGGGAGGAGCTGGTGGGGCTCCTCATTAAAGCGCCGAGGGGTTGGTGCGTGAGGACCTGGACCAGATGAGCTTGGAAGTAGTGGCCCAACTTCTTGACAGTCCAGACAATAGCTAACACCGTTTTTTCCACAGGGGAATACCGGAGTTCCGCTTCCCTGAGGGTCTTGCTAACATAGAAGATGGCATGCTGGACACCATCTTCTTCCCGGATGAGTACTGAGTTGATGGCCGCCGGGCTAATACCAAGGTAAAGGTATAGGGTTTCCCCTACATTGGGTTTGGAAAGACCCGGGGGTGAAGACAGATACCGTTTCAGCTCTTCGAAAGCCTCCTGGCATTCTGAAGTCCATTGGAAGCCGACGGTCTTCCTCATTATTTGGAAGAAGGGTAAGGACTTCTCCGCCGATTTGGATAGGAAGCGGTTGAGGGCTGCCAGGCGGCCCGTCAACCGTTGGACCTCCTTCACGTTGCGTGGGGGCTCCATGTTGACGATGGCCTGGATTTTCTCAGGGTTGGCCTCGATACCCCTTCGGCTCACCATGTAGCCCAAGAACTTGCCCCCTTGCACGTCGAAGGTGCATTTCCTCGGGTTTAGCCGAAGGTTGAAATTTTGCATGATGGCGAAAATCTCCCGGAGGTCGTCAGCGTGGGTCGATGATTGTTTGCTCTTGACGGTCATATCGTCAACATAGGCCTCCATGGTGCGCCCTAGGACAGCCTGAAAGACTCTGGCCACCATCCGGGTGTAAGTGGCGCCTGAGTTCTTAAGGCCGAAGGCCATGACAAGGTAGCTATCGATGCCCTCGGGAGTCATGAAGGCTGTTTTTTCGGTGTCTTCCTCGTGCATGAAAATTTGGTGATACCCTCGGAAGGCATCGAGGAAGGACATGATCTCGCACCCCGCAGTCTCATCCACCAGTTGATCAATATTTGGCAAGGGGAAGGGGTCCATGGGGCACGCCTTATTTAAATCAGTGTAGTCCACGCACATGCGCAAGGTGGGTGGCTTCTGTGCGAGGACTACGTTCGTCAGCCACGAGGGGTATTTCACCTCCTTGATGTGCTTGATGGAGAGGAGCATGACAACCTCCCTCTTCACAAATTCCCTCCTCTCGGCCGAGAGGGGTCTTCTTCGCTGTTGTATAGGTTTGACCGAAGGGTCCACCGAGAGGCGATGGTTGATGACCCTTCGGCTGATTCCGGGCATGTCCTCCGGCCCCCATGCAAAAACAATGGAGTAGGCACGGAGGGCTTCAGTTATGCTGATCTTCAGGTCTTCGGGGAGCTTGGCTCCAATCTTCACAACTCTCTCCGGCTTGGCCGAATCGAGTGCGAGGTCTTCTACTTCCTCGGCGGGCTCAACCCTCGGCCTCTTCTCTTCTTCCTCCACGGTTCCGGTGATGGTGTCAACACGGAACTCGGTCTTACTTACCTTCTTCGTCACTTGGAGGTAGCAAGCGCGGGCAAGTTTTTGATTCCCTCTTGAGTATCCAATGCCTCTTTCGGCAGGGAACTTGAGGCACAGATGCTTCATGGAGATGATGGCTTCGAG